CCTCTGATGCTCTAGCATTGAGACTCTTCCTACTGGGGACCTGATACACAATTCCAGATGCCTCCAGGTTTTGGTTGATTGACTCTGGTGGCGTGGTAGCTCTGATTTTCAAAATATGGTATGGTTGTACATATCTTAGTAAAGACTTGGTATCATTTCAACCTGTTTATTACAAATAAAGAAACCAACAAATTTGATTGTGAAATGAAACATGATTCTCAACCTCCAGTCCCATAGATGTATTTATATAGTCACATCTCATACAGTCCTATAGATGTATCTATATAATAACATCTCATACAGTCCTATAGATGTATCTATCACTCAAATATTTATCAAGCCTTCCCTTAAATTTACTGCTTCCACCACTTCTGAAAGCAGTCAATTCAAAGGCCAACTACTCTATTAGAAAAATAAAACTGTCTTAACTATATATATATAGATGATTACTACCCTGGTAAAATTTATATTTGTGTCCCCTACTCCTACACTTCTCATAATTAAGTAAAAAAAAGATGATGCATCAATACTATAAGTATCCTTAACAATTTTGTACAACTCAGTCAGATTCTCTCTAACTTTTCCTTTCCTCGGGAGAAAACAATTTCAGGCATCTTAACCAGTCGTGTTATGACAATCTTTTCATTCCAGGTATTATCATCCTAGTTGCTCTTCTTTGAACCCTTCCCAACAATTCAATGTCCTTTCTAATGTAAGGAGCCTAATACTGGACCCAAATGTGGTCTAACCAGTGATCTACACAATCATATTACAGCCTCTTTAGACCTGTATTCAATATTTCTGTAATTCTAACCTAAAATCATATTTGCTTGCCACTAGCAACAGCACAGTGCTTGGACGGAATAAGAGTCTGATCAACCAGAACACCAAATTCCTGTGGCTATTAGTAGACTAAGGTGGTATAAAGTTTGACTTTATGTTAATTAAAAGTAAGGTTATTTTCCAAGTTATATATATATATATGTGTGTTTTACAGGAAATGTTATCAGTATTTTCAAAAACATTTGAAAATTTATTTTAAAACATTATGTGAAAGGAAGGGAAAAATTCTGTGATTGTATGTAATTGAGATATATTAATCTTGATCAAATATATTTGTATTTTTTTATTTATTTCATGAAAATCTGTTATTTTAAATAAAATAAATTGAGATTTGGTCTTGCATAAAGTCTGGTGATAGGAGATGCTTTTTTTCAGTATTCATTTAATGGAGATTGTAACTTGTAGGTAGGTCACTGTAATGGCTGAAACATATTAATTTCTATCTACTGACCAAAACAGTCATAGCTTGTATATTTTTCTTCTGGTATATATATATATTCTTTTTTTCTTTTTTTTTCATTTTAGTGCAACCAAAATTTATATGCTGTTAGTGTACTGTAATACAAAATTTTGCAGTATGCAAAAGTGAAGATTTCCAACAGGGATAAAGATTATAAAATCTTTATAAATTTTGCCCATAGCTTTTATGTCTGACTGTGCAAAAGACTACACATAATGCATTAATTAATTAACATCAGATAAAGTCACAAGGGGAAGTACTTTGCAGGAGATTTATTTAAAATGTAAACAAAGAATGCAAGTAGCTGAGAAGTCCATTATGTGTTTCAATTTTTACAGTTATTCTTTTTAAGTAACGCATTAGCAAGTGTGTTGCATTCATTTAAACTTTACACATTCTTTAAGTTGTTGCTTTGTTTTTAACATACTGATGAAGAAATACATTTGAAAAAAATGTTTGTTTTCATGGAGTGTCTAAAGAATCACCATATAAGGCATGGTTGTGACTTGAAACTCTACACAGTGTATTGAGGTATCCAAAATATCTAGCTTTTTTCTATACATAGACATCTAGATATACCTAGATGTCTGGGGCATTTTTCCAATTTTAATTCATTGATGCAGTATTTGTATTTATGTATAATATAAAACCATGGAAATTAAAAGCTAGAAATTGATATATTTTCTTTTTTCATAGAACTGTAAATAATAACACATTCATAGTGTATTGCATTCAGAACTTTATTGATTTCTGTTTATTACTTTTTATACTTTTTTATTTGTTCTCTGTACACTGTTTAAATTGCTTTACACATTCTTTATCTTCAAGCTAAAAAAATCTCAAGTTTGATAATCTCCGTCTTCTTCAGTGTTAAAAAGTCATAAAACATTCAGAGTGCTGTGAATTCAAGGTAACATAACAATTAAATTTGTGGAAGCTGAGATAATTGTGATATCTGGTGACCATATCTCAACATGTTGTTACGACAGTGGGGGTCACGTGACAAGTATTCTAGAAGATTCGCTAGTGTGTTACGACAGCGGAAGTCAATTGATGCTGGTAGCACGTGTTGAGAGTCTTAGAAGTTTCTAGAACAGGCAGTATTATCGTATATAAGTGCACTAGACAGTGAGAGAGACAAACGGAGCCAGAGACGTAGCGGAGACGAAGTAGGCAGAGAGAAAGAAAGACAGCGATTACGGTCGGCAGGAACTGAGGATAGCAGACACAGAGATCAGAACTATAGTTTGCGGGGACGGACAATTAAGTCTAAGCGCGATAGAAAGTGAGTGAATTGTTGTGAACTATAGTGTGTGTAACTGTGAAAATTAAGTACATTACAAAGTTGTATTGAGGAAGCATAAACAAGTTTTATAAAGAAAGGACTTGTATCTTAGAAGAATTAACAAACAAACATACAGAGACGTAACAATGTGAATAAAAATTCTCTGGAAATTTATTTTGAGTTTGAAATTATCTTTTGGCACTTAGCTTTTTTTTTTAAGATAGTCATAATTCTTTTTGTACCCATAGGTAATTGCTTTGAGGAGATGATCTTATTGAAAAACTGTTTAAAAATATTCTCATAAAATCTCATTATATATGATTATTTGTTACAAGCATATCTAGTTACTGCATAAATATAGCCTAAGAAATAGAAATAATGAGATTACATTTAAATGAAGTCATACCTAGAAAACTTTAACATACATAATATATTTTGTTGCAATCACAAAAATGTTTTATAGATAAATGTCTAAGCTAGTAAATCCAAATTTGGCAGTAAAATGTTTGTGTGTAAAAGAACTTCCACATATTTGAGGAACAATACCCCTACCTAAATATATATTTATTAAGTGCAATATTTTAAAATACTTTTAATACTGAGTGACTTATGTAGCCTGGTTTGATACAATGAACACGATAAACTGTATAGTATTAGTACGTCACTTGTCAGCAGGGACAGATCCAGATTTTTGATAAGAGGGGTTGTTCTTCCATCAGGTCCAAAAAACCTTGTGAAATACTTACATTATTTATTGGGCCCGGTATGGCCAGGTGGTTAGGGCGGTCGACTTGTAATCTGCGGGTCGCGTGTTCGAATCCCCTTCACACTAAAAATGCTCACCCTTTCGGCCATTGGGGGCATTATAATGTGACGGTCAATCCCACCATTTGTTAGCAAAAAGAGTTGGTGGTGATGACTAGCTGCCTTCCCTCTAGTCTTACACTGCTAAATTAGGGATGGCTAGCGCAGGTAGCCCTTGTGTAGCTTTGCGCGAAATTCAAAACAAAACAGATGGATAGTGGCTGGTAGGTCTTTCATTATATATGGAG